TTTGGGCATGGTGCAAGGAGGGACTGGTCCTTGGAGAGGGACATCATGTTTGGTAGAGTGGAGGGGCGGTGAAGGAGAGGAAGACCTTTGATGAGATGGATCGATTCTGTGACTAGAGAGGTGGGAATAAGTGCGTCTGAGATGGCTAGGTTGGCACAGGACAGAAGAGCGTATAGAGCTCTTCTTGTACATAGGGTCGCTATGAGTTGCAAGCGACTCGATGGCACATAACAACGACATCAACAACAACATTTAGGTATATAATTGTACAAATAATTTCTTTTAGAAAGATGAGCACAAAACTGGTTCCTATGAGGCAGAAGTTAAAGATATCCCAAACGTTCAGTTCTTCCAAACTGCTGTAACCAATCTAACATCAGTCATTCCTCCTCTCCGTCTTTGTCTTTGTGTTCCATAAATCAAAGCAATGCCTCACAAAAATCACAAACTTTAGAGAAAGAGCTTACATTGTTTTGAAGGTTGTTTAGTCCCAAAGTTGTGGATCAAGCTGCAGTCTGGAGAACTCTCTTGACCCATGGGGCCAGAGGGACTGTAACCTAAACTGTAGGTCAGAAGACAGGCTTCAGACTCCTGAGGCTACTCATAAGGCTGGTGAATTAGCCCAGGTAATAGGCCTCTGGCTAAGGTCTTGGAAGTGTAAGATGGATCCAACATCAGATTGCACTTAGTCAGATGCAGGATCCAGAGCAATACACTATGGAATAGGATTCTGCAGGTTGTTATTAGATAGATATACAGTGATACTTATACGTGAACATTTTATATTTAAACACTTTATAGTGGCTATATAATCAAAGTACCAAGTAACTCAAATGAGCCTTGACAATGTTTTTCTTTCTTTAATTTTTTGGGGTTTTATTTTATACTGGTTTACTTACAAAGATCATAAAGTTCATATACATTGTTTTCCACACCTTTAAAGCACTCCCATTTTATTCTGTTCTCTAGTTATTTAAGAGGTTAATAGAGGTGTTACAGAACTACATTAAAAACCATGTGATATACACTTAGTGGAAAACTGCTTTGAACTAAAAGATGCTCTAAGTATGGAGGTGAGGAGGGTTACTAAAAATCACTGTTCCCCACAAGAAAGTACAACATTTTCTTAAAGCCATGTTCAGAAATAGCAGGAAAAGAGGGAACATGAAAACTTGTCCAAGGAGAAATAAGTTTTCACTACTCACTTGTAAAAATCGAGATAGACATACAGAAGATGCTGCAAATTGTGTTCCAAACAATAAAGAATGAGGTGAGAATGGAAATTCCAACCTTCTTTGGTCCTGTAGTTTTGAACAGGAAGGGTATCTTGTAGCACACCCCCAATACGGTTCAGTCTTTGGAGGAATAGTTCAAAGTCTTTCAGTTCGGATGGAAGAAAAAGCCCATTCCTACTGGACAGGTTTAAGAAATGGCAGGTTAGAAAGCCACTAGGTTCAGAGCAGACCAAATGCCCTCAACTGTGTCTATCTCCACTACTTAAAAATCAGTATTTACAAATCAGGGCTTCTAATTCTTATTGGATAGATACATCCTGCTAGCTTCAAATTTAGGTTTCTGAACTTTTGGAGCACTTAAAAACAGTAATGAGGGTTTTAAACTCTCTTCAATATTTCAAAACCCTAAACAAAACTTGTTTTTGAATGAACTAAACAATTCACCATGACAGCAGGAGGGAGCTCTTTATCTTGATGGTCTGAGCACTGAGAAATTTACCAAAATAGCCAAACAAAATTAAGAAACTAAAATAAAAAGACCAATTAGTAAGATGAAGAAAAATTTGTTTAAATAATACTTACATTTTACAAAATGTTTTCTAAATCATACATACAAAAGTACAGAAAATATATCACACTTCAAGAAAGTTAAATCATGTAACCGCCACTCAGATTTAAAAACAAAATGGATGTTATACCTCTTTGAGTATCACTAAAGGTGCGCTGGTAGCAAAGTGTTTAAAATGTTTGGTTGCTATCCCAAAGTTTGGCAGTTTGAATCCATCAGCTGTTCTACAGGAGAAAAGACATGACTGGCTGTTTGTGTAAATATTTACAACCTGGGGCATCCTGTGGGACAGTTCTCGCCTATATAGCAGGGTTCCTGTGAATTAGAACTGATTTGACTGCAATGGTTTGGTTATTTTGGTGTGTATCATTACCTCACTGCATGCAGTTCACTCTCCCAAAGGTAACAAATTTTTTTTGTGATAATCATTCCCTCACCTTCATTCAGTCTGATCCTCTATGTCTATAACCTTAAATAATGTATGGTTTAATTTTGCTTATTTTGAAATGAAATGTAACACTCTGGATGCATTGTTCTTTGCTGTCCTGTGCTCAATACAATATTGTATCATTTAGCCATGCTGGCACCTGGGGTTACATGCCATCAATTTTCAGTTTAGTATTCCATTGTGTGATAAATTCCATTTTATTTATCCTTTCTACAGTCAGTTGTTCCTACATCTTTCTTTTTTTGGGGGGTTTTTTTTTTGTTGTTGTTCTTAGACCTTTTGTAAAGTCAAGTCCTAATTCTATGATTAACAAGGAAGAAAATATTTTTCTATGTGTACTGGCTCTATCCTATGTGTCTCCTCTTTTATGAAATGCTGAGCTGTGTTAGATATCTTTCCCCAAGAGATCAAACTCTACTCATCACCACCCAGGTCTATCCTTGCAGGTTTACCTAAATGGGCTGCCCAGGAGATTAACAGTGCCCTCAAGCTACTGCTTTTGAAGTAGAGAAAAAGGAAGGATGAGGTGTTATCCCCTGCCTCTGTCTTCCGCTGGGTTACCCCAGCTCTCTCCCTTTAGGGTTCTAACTTTCTCCTGGTCTCTGTCACTGTTTCCTTCGTTAGCCATTTTGAATCTGTTAAGGGAAGTATGTTTTACTGCTAAGATTACAGGGATATTCTCCTCAATCTCCCAAAAGCTATGTAGATTTTACATTATACAATAAAGTGTTCAAATCCACTTGGAATTTATTTTACTCATGGTATAAAGGAGAAGCCCAATTTCACCTCCCATTCTTACATCGATTCAATTTCCCAAAGATCATTTATTGAAAAGACCATTCTTTATTTTCAAAGAGTCATGCTTGGCTGTTAACTAAAAAGGTGAAAGTTTAAATCCACTTAGAGGCAACTTGGAAAAAATGCTTTGAGATAAACTATTGAAAAATCAGCCACTGTAAACTTGATCATTGTAGCATAGTTCTATTCTGACACAAAAGGTCCCCATGAGTCAACTGGTTCTGGGATTAAATTTCAAAACCACAAGCATGAAGGAACAATGATAATATTGAAAAGAGGGAAGATGACAGGAAGACCTACAGTATCCTCATCTTAGCACTTGCCAGTGATTAGTTCCTTGTAACATTACTCCCAGACTAACACTGTGACATCAAAGCACATAATATATTTGGGGAAGAACCAACATACAGAATTTTAGTCTAATCACAAGCACATAATGTTTAATGCCTTTAACACCTTGCTCTATGATAAACCCAAAAAACCCCAACAAAACCAAACCCAGTATTGTCAATTCTGATTTACAGTGACCCTCCATCGAGTTTCTGAGAGACTGTCCATCTTTTTCCCTCAGAAGAGCTGGCGGATTTGAACTGATTTTTAGGTTAATAGTTTGACATGTTATGCATTAAATCACTCGTACCCCTTTAGTTTATTATAGTGCCTTTTAATATGAAACAATGCTCACTGGATTTATGCCACCTCAAAGGAAACACTGCCCTACCATTTTTTATTGTTCTTCTTTTTATTCTGCCCATTTGGAATTACCTTTAGTAGTTAACAGTACCTGGCCAGTTTATCTAAAATTTCATTTCTCATGTAGTTGTTGCAGCAAGTATTCTGATCCATAACATCAACACTCAGAAAGGGCCATTTGTTCTGCTGAAGTGAAGCAGAACTATCCTGGGTTTGAAATTCTCTGATCCATAAATTAATGCTTAATGAATCATGGTGAGCTGTGAGGAGTCTCCAGAGGACTTCAGGAGAATAAGATCTGTAGTCTACATGAAGAACAAAACACACATTAAAATAGCAATGCTTTATGATTATTGGCATAAAACTTGATACTGAGTCAATTACTGAGTAGATAATAATCTGGACATAAATATTTATATACATTATTCCAGTTCTCTACTTCTTTGGTTATTTTCTTCCTTCGTCTTGTTCATTTTATATAAACTAGCTGAGGGAGGGAGGGAGGGAGGGAGGGAGGGAGAGATAGATAGATAGATAGATAGATAGATAGATAGATAGATAGATAGAAGGGAGCTTTAGTGGCCTAGTGGCAAGAAGCTGCACAATCCTGGAGGTAGTGATTTGAATCCACCAGATGCTCTGCTGGAGAAGGAGGGACAATCTCCTACTGTGCCAGTTGGATCTGATTTGACAGTACACAACAAGAAAAAAGAAAGAAAAAAAAATCAGCTGAGGAAGACCTAAATCTTACTATTACAGTGGTAAAGATATAACCTGGGAATTAGCTGTATGCATTTCTTTTCAGTCTTCTTCCCCTTTCTTCCTTAATAGAAAGAAAAAACTTCTTACGCATGTGGGATTTACCACTGTTAGTTGTTCTCAAGAGCGTCAAGATGATATAGAGCCTCTAGGATTAACAATAAAAACGAGATTGTTTGGGAAAATAATTTCACTTTGAAATTGAGGATGAAAACTCCCAGCCTAGAAATTTCAATTCACTGCTTGGCCAGTTGAGCTATATTATATATGCCTTTTTCCTTTCACAAGATCACATTATAATCCTTCACTAAAACCTAGTGACAGGAAAGAGGTCTTAATAAAATGACTTGTATCTAAAAGCAATTGAACATTACCACCACTACCACCATCCTAAAAAAAGTAACCCTAAAATGGAGACATACTAAAATACTCAAGTCTCAATATTTAATTTAATCAACATTCAGTAGGCTCATATTTCAGGTTTTTTTTCACACTTGCCATCTGTACTTATCCTGTGAAGAAGGATGGATTCTTGTGTTGCTTGATCCCACCAGTGAGCCCAATTTAACACAATTCTAAGATCTTGTTTGTCAAATTCATCTTTATGGTATTTCAGGGCTGAATCCAAAACAGATTTGTGTTTTGAAAAATCCTGTTCCTTTATCCAGTACCTAAAACAGTGATACATAGGATTTTTAAAAATCTAAGGCAAAAGTTATCTTTTCTCTATTTAAGAACTTCTACTCTTTTGTGGGTTATATAACTCAGTATTCTTAATTCTGCACTTACTATCTTAAAAATGATATGCCTAGTAATGAAAATACTGAAACAGCAGGAAATTCTCAAGACCTCTTCTATATGACAGCATATTTAGAAACAAATTTTATTTTCATGGAGTACATATATCAAGTTCCAAATAAGAAACTCATGATCACATGGCATATGCATATAATAACATTTGTAAACTAATCACTACTTAGGACATGCATTCTAAATTCCAAGAACAGGCTAATAGGACTACCTGGAAAAGGGCTGGATCTGCACATTTTCGTGGGACTGTCCTGAATAAAGCTTCTCAACTTGATGAACAAAGTCTACTGTTCTTTTTTCATTTTCGGAAAAAAATTTTTTTTCTTTTAAAATTTCAACCTTGAATTTAAAAAATAATTAAAATTGAAACAGTAGCCTCATTAAAAAAGATCAAGTACATACTGCACATAATAAGTCTCTTGAAATTAAATATCATGTAAGATTTTTTTTTTCTTTTCATTTTTGAGCTACTAGTGAACTTAGCTCCTGCAGTGTCTACTGGTTTAAATCCATCTGCCACTCCTTGGGAGAGAGATTGGAAGTCCTCTCCCATTAAGATTCACAATCTCAAAAATCTGATATATGGTTTCTATGAACTGGAATTGACTCAATGACAGTGAGAATGTATACCCAAAAGTTTTTACTATGCCACAAATGTAATCATTAGAAAAACTTTCAAAAATAAACTACATAGTCTCACCTTTACCTACCAAAAAGTCTCGTATGTTTTTATCAGTTGTATAGAAGCATATTTTGAGCAACTGGTCTTTTACATCAAAACCCTATAAAAACACAAAGAAAGCAAAAAACCCCTTGTATTTTGTAATGAAACTTTTTTGAACACATATGAAAAAGTAAATATAGTGGATACAGAAGTACTCTATTATAGATATACATCCAATTAGAATTCCATAGCTTTTCTGCTCTTGTAGACATTAATTTTCCTACAAGAGTATGTATGTATTTATTGCTTGTCCCTGAAATACTTAAGCATTATCAAAGTACAGAGAATAATATAAGGTTAAAGGAGCAAAAACCAGAAGCTGCTGCTATGATGATTCACTTAGAAAGAAAAGTTAGTATGAGAAGAGCTCACACAATTCTCCTTCGCACTAACAAGAAGTTACATGGGCAAAAACTCAACCATGCAGATGGGCCAGATTTCAGCTTTGTCTAAAGTTCTGCCTCAAAAACTGACTCTTTCCAATGAATTAAAATCGCAGCACATAAAACCTTAGGGAAGGCACAATACAGTAGAAAGATCAAGTGAAGATACAAGGGGTCACATGAGCAATAGAGAATGCTCCCAAATAAATAATGGGGCCTTGTGCATGCTTCGACATGTGTGAATTCTGCTCTCCTAACCAGTGCCACATTTACAAAGAAGAGGTGAATGGAACTCCCTTTCAAGAAAGCTTTCAGTACCAAGCAATATTTCTCTATGTTAATAACATTCTTCTTATTTCCTAGTAAAATTTACAAATTAGTTTGTGACCCAATTACAAATATAAGCCAATTTTCACATTAACTGGAAATTGTATTAAACAGGTTGCTTTAAGAGCAGTCAAACGGGTTATGCCACTCACCATATTCTTTAAAAGTTCAGAGGCCTCTTTTATGTTGTTCTTTTTTAAACTGTCAAAGACCAAATCTAAGCCTATTTTAATTAGTTCTTCGAGTTTTTGAGCAGAATGATCATTAATCCTGAGGAAAGTTTGCGCCTCTGGTATTTTGTTGTTTAAAATGGCATTAGCAATAACCTCCTAGAAGAAAGAAAGAAAAATGCTTAGTATCTTTTAAAGTTCCCTCTTACTTCTTTGTTATAGCTCTAACCATAGCATTTATTCATTCAATTATCAAAATGGTTCAGGAGTGGGCACCATTGCATTCTGTTAAATCTAGTACAAGATTTTGGACATATATAGAGAGTGTGAAGTTGACTAAATCACAGTCCCTTCTCTCCAGAAGCATGAATTCTAGTGGCATACAAGTAAAGCACTGAATATGTACTAGATGGGCTGCAACTGACCTGTTCCTACAGTGCCAGGGAGAAGAACCTAGGTGGAAAAGGGAAAGAGACAGACAGACAGAAAAAGAGGATAGGTGGTATTAAAAAAAAAAAAAAAGGAATTTTTTTCTTCTTCTTCTGCAGTGGTAAAAAGCTAAGACTTCAAGGAACTTGGGAGTTATTCAAGATAACTAGTGAAAAAAATCATAGAAGGCAAAAAAGTCTCTATAGCAAAGTAGAGCTGCTTTTCTGGTCTTCTAAGTTAGGCTATTCTGATCTCTGTCTCTTTAATGCCAATGTTCTCTAGGTGGGTAAAAAAATTCTACCGTCTAGTCATGGAGAGCAACACATTTTGACTGCACCACCACAAGGAGGTTGGGGAATGGCAAGGCAGATTAGGCATAAAAAAATTTAAGCTGACTTAACTGGTAAGATGTCTTAAATAACACGAGATAGGACTCAAATCAAGCCTACTCTGAAGCAATAGTGTCATGTGATCAAAAAGTTTCCCAAGATCTAATCACTGTCAGCAATTCTATCTATTTAAAGATCAGGCAGAACTCATGAGTTCAGAGTCAGATCCTAGACAGTGAAGATATCATTAAAGGGACATCATTCCCCATGGATTCAAGGTTGGGCTTTAACAGAGAATCTGTTTGTGTTCTGTTGTTGTTTGCTGTTCAGTCAGAGTCTACCCGTAGCTGACCCTCTAGCAAGTTTTAGGAGACTGTGAATCGTACTGGTGACTGGCTGGTGGATTTAAACTGAGTGTCTTTGATTAGCAGTGCAGCTCCTTGCAACTAGGTCACCAGAATCTGTAGGGAGCTCTGGTTATCTAGTGTTACGGAGCTGTACTGCCATACAACAGGCACAAGATCAGAATTAATCAGTTGCTCTGCAGGAGAAGGATGAACACTCTTCCCATGCAATTTACTGCCTCTCAAAATCCACTAAGGGTCAGCTATGAGTCAGTTCTAACTCAGTGGTACACAACAACAATTTGTGTTCAGAATGAAATAATCAGAACTTATAGACATAAATTTTAAGTTATGTCCAGAGATGTCAAAATCTGTAAAATTTTGACCAAAGATTTGAACCGTAAGTTATAGCAGGCCTATCAGAGATCCTAAACAATTTTGTTTCTTGTTCTCTTCTTAAATTCTCTCTGAAGTTGGCAAACAGAAGAAGGGTTAATTGCTCATGTTTACCTCAATACTAAGTTTCTCCCACAAATCACTCTCTTTTACAATGGAGACATCTCCATTTACATCGTATTCATCCAAAGTATCTGTCTGCTTCCAAGGAAACTTTATCATGAAGGTTCGAAGTTTATTAATATAGCTGGTTAAAATATTCACTCCCTTTTGCAGATGTTCATCGAGTTCTGTGCAAAACATCAAGTGGGCCCATTTCATAGAGAAGAGAGAAAGAATGAACTTAATGAGAATATCACAGTACACACATACCAATAAATAAATAAATACATAAATAAATAAAGGATAATATCATAAGCTGCTATAAAGTAGCCTAAAAAAGTGCCAAAATTTAAACTAACATTTTCAAATTTAAAACAGTGTGTTTTTCTATCTGCAAGTCTATGTTTTAAGACAACTTGCTTCACTCTCTTCACTGTAGTTAGTCTTGGGGTTTTCTGCCAACTTTTCCTATATTAGAACCTGTTCCATTCAAACATCACACTGGCTTATGCCCACCTTTAGGAAATGACATGCCACTGGCTTATATTCTCACATGGAACACAGACTACAAAGTTCTAATGCTAGAAAACTAGAAACTGTGAAAATTGAAATGGAATGCCTGAACACTGACATTTTAGGCATTAGTGAGATGAGATGAACAAAGCTGGGCCATTATAAATCAGAAAATCACACAGTATACTATGCTGAGAATGAAAAACAGAAAAAAAAATGGTGTTGCATTCCTAGTAAAAAAGTCAATTTCAAATTCTATCCTGAAGTACAATGTTGTGAGTGACAGCATACATCCATACACATACACTCCTACATCTAGACCCAGAGAGGAAGAAACTCAATATTCTTACCAAATCTTGCAATTTGAAATTGACCAAACATGCAATCAAGATGCATTAATGATAAGTGGTGATTGCAAATGTTGGAAACAATGAAGAAAGAATAGTAGCTGGAAAGTACGGACTTAGTGACAGAAATGAGGCTGGAAGGAAGATGATAAAATTTTGTATTCTCAATGATTTATTCACTGCAAATACTTTTTAAATTTTTTTCTTAAAAAATCTTTTTTAAAAAACACAAACAGAAACTTTCCACATGGACTTCACCTGATTCACAGCAATCAGACTGACTATATCTGCAGAAGGAATTGCTGAAGCTCAACATCAGTAGTCAAAACTACGTTGGGGCAGACTGTGGGGCAGACCATCAATGAAGCCAAAGAAAATTAAAACAAATGCACAAGAACCAAAACATGAACTTGAATCTATTTCACTTGAATTTAAAAATCATCTTAGCTGCACTGCAATCCCAGAGGTGTGTGGTTCAAATCCACCAGATGCTCTGCTGGAGAAGGAGGGGCAATCTCCTCCTTTACCAGTCAGATCCAATTTGGCAGTACACACACACACACACACACACACACACACAAAATAATAAAAAAAATCATCTTAAGAATAGATTAGAAAAACTGAATACCAATCATCAAAGACCAGATGAGTGGAATGATACCAATGATGAATCCATGAAGAGAGCAAAAGGTAATTACAAAAACAGAGAAGAAAAAAACAAAATGTCAGAAGAAATTCTAAAAACTGCACTAGAGCATCAAGAAGTCAAAACAAAAGGAAAATATGCCAAAGTAAAAAAGCTGAACAGAAGGTTTCAAAAGATAGCTTAAAAAGATAAAGTATTATAATGAAATGTGAAGAGAGTTGGGATTGGAGAATAAAAAGGGAAGAACTCGCCCTGTACTTCTTAAGCTGAGAGAATTGAAAAACAAATTTAAGCCTTGAATCGCAATACTGAAAAAATGCTAGGGGCATTATAGTGAATAAACAAGGAAGCATCAAAAGAAGACAGAGGGAATACACAAAGTCACTATACCAAAATAACTGACTGACCCTGAAAAATTATAGGAAGTACCATATGAGCAAGAGCCAATGGTACTGAATGAGGAAGAGGAAGCTGCATTTGGAGGCATTGGCAAAAATTAAAGCCCTAGGAATTTATGGGATACCGACTTGTTTCAACTAACAGATGCCTCCTTGGATGTGCTCACCAGCCTATGCCAGGAAAGACAGCTGTTGGGCCAATGATTTGAAGAGGCTCATATTTGTTCCTATTCCCAAGAAAGGTAATCCAACAAGAGTGTGGAAACTGTAAATGCAAGCAAAATACTTCTGAAGATTATTAAAAAAACAGCTAGAATGGTATATAGATAAGAAACTGATGGAAGTTCAAGCACGACTGAGAAGAGGCTGTGGCACCAGGGATATCACTGCTGATGTCAGATGAATACTGGCTGAAAGTAAAGAACACCAGAGAATGCCTATTTGTGCTTTATTGACTATGCAAAGGCCTTTAACTTGTGTGGATTATAACAAGTTACAGCTAACTTTGAGAAGAATGGGAATCCCAGAGCACTTAATTGTGCTCATGAGAAACCTATACCTAGACCAAGACACTGTTGTGTGAACAGAGCAAGGGAATATTTGTTGTTGTGTCACTGGTGTTATGTGCCGTCGAGTCACCTGAGACTCATAGAAACCCTACAGCTGTAAAACCTGCCCTGTCCTGGGCCAATCTCACTGTCTCCAACACACCTATCCCCATTACTCTAGTCACTGAATCAATCCATCTCATTGAGGGTCTTCCTCTTCTGCGCTGTTCCTACACCCTCCCAAGCATAATGTCCCTCTCCAAGGACTGCAACATGCAACATGCCCAAAATACATCAGATGAAGCTTCAGAATCTTTGCCTCCAAGGAGCAGCCTGGCTTTACTCTCTCCAGGACAAATCTGTTCATTCTTTTAGCAGTCTATGATATATTCAATACTCTTCTCTAACACCACAGCTCAAAGGCATCAATTCTCCTTCTATCTTCCCCTAGTCATTGTCCAGCTCTCTGATGCATAGCAAGTGATTGCAAAGACCATGGCCTGTATCAGGTGCACCTTAGTCTCCAGTGACACCACTGCTCTTCAGTACCCTGGAGAGGTCCCTAACAGCAGACTTTCCCATTGCAATACATCTTTTAATTTCTGGCTGCTGGTGCCAAGAGTGATGACTGTGGAGCCAAGCAAACTAAAGCTGTAAACAATCTCAATCTCTTGACCATCCACCATGATGCTGCCAATTGGCCCAGTGGTGAGAATCTTTGTTTTCTTGATACTGAGCCTCAATCCATACTGAAGCCTGACCTTCCACAGCAAACGCTTCAGGTCCTCCTCAGTTTCAGCAAGCAGGGTTGTGTCATCTGCATAATGCAGATTGTTGGTGAGTCTTCCTCAAATCCTGATGCCACGTTTCTCCTCATAGAGCCCAGTCTCCCAGGTAATCTGTTCTGCATAAAGATTTAAAAGGTATGGAGACAGGATACATCCTTGGTGTACCCCCTTCCCAACTTTGAACCATGCAGTGTTTCCTTGCTCTGTTCTGACAACTGCCTCCTGGTGAAAGTATAGGTTTTGTAATAGCACAATCAAGTGTTCTGGGATTCCCACTCTTCTCACTACATAGTTTAAAATTAAGACGGGAGTGTGTCAGGGTTTTATCTTCTCTCCATACTTATTCAGTCTGTATGCTGAGCAAATTATTAAGAGAAGCTAGACTCTATGAAGAAGAATGTGGCATCAAGAGCAGAAGACGACTTCTCAATTACCTGCATTATGAAGATGACACAATTTTGTTTGCTGTGAAAACTTGAAGCACTTGTTGCAGAAGATCAAAGAATACAGCCTTCAATATGTGTTACTTCTCAACATCAAGAAAACAAAAATTCTTGCTACTGGACTGATAGGCAACACCATGATAGATGGAGAAAAGATAGAAATTGGCAACATCTCCATCTTACTTGGATCCACAATCAATATCCTTGGTACCAGCAGTCAGGAAATCAGGAGAAGTATTGCACTGTAAGAGTCTGCCGTCGGACCTCTCCAAATTATTGAGGAGTAATGGTGTCAATTTGAGGACTAAGGTGCATCTGATTCAGGCCATGGTCTTTTCAATCACTTGATATGCATCTGAGAGCTAGACAATGAATATGATGACAGAAGAATTGATCCCTTTGAGCTATGGTGTTGGAATACTGAACATCTTGGAGAGAGTGCAACCAGACAGAGTGCTCCATGGAGGCAAAGATGATGAAGCTTCACTTCACATATTTCAGGCATGTTGCTAAGAAGGGCTATTCCTTGGAGACAGACAAGATGCTTGGAAAGGTGGAGGATCATCCAACTAGAGGAAGACCCTCAACCAGGTGGATTTACATAGTGCCTTCTGCAATGGGCTCTAGAGCATCTAAAAGTGTGAGGATGGCACTGGACTGGACAGGGTTCAGATCTGTTGTTCATAGGGAGGCTATAGGTCATACGTGATGGCACCTAATAACAACAACAACAACAACAACAACAACATTCTCGCACAATAAGCCCATTAATAATCTCTGTCCTAAGTATAGTACTATTTCTCGCTTTTTTTTATTTCTTGCTCTTTTTTTTTTTTT